CCCTACCCCTACCCCTACCCCTACCCCTACCCCTACCCCTACCCCTACCCCTACCCCTACCACTACCACTACCACTACCACTACCACTACCACTACCACTACCACTAGTAGTAGTAGTGGTACTACTACTACTACTACTACTACTACTACTACTACTACTGCTACTACTACTACTACTACTACTACTACTATTCATACTCGTACAGTACCGTACTAGAACATTCATAATGCTTGGCTGCTTGCATGACAGCATGAAACAGCGGACGAACACAGAACAAGCAAAGAAACACCGACAAAAAGTCGATGCAAAAACTCACCTGAAGCATGGGTACGCCGCAGTGAGAAGGGGCGAGGTGACAGAATTCAGAGCTCGAGCGGAAGGAACAGAATGCCAGCAAAAAGATAGCTCCCTCGCGTAGAAACCATAACAAGGCAAACCAAGATGCCCGGTATAGATTTTACCAGTGAACTGTCATGCGAAACTGACACACTGATACGGTTTGAGCGTCCAGCCAGATCTCAAAAAAGCACCATCTCAACAAGGAATCACCGCAGAACCGGCTAAGCTTGCCACCCCAGTGTAGCTCAGCGGGCGCAGCACCACAAGAGCTGCGACAAGCACTTGCAACCATGATACCATGCTAGAGACGTCAGAGGGAAGGGAAATTCTGAAAGAGTGAGTTAAAAGGTTGATGAGTCCATGAGCTAGGGAAGTTGTCGGTGGAAGTTGGCCATGGACAGACCACACTCAGGATCTGCAAGACCAGCCAAATGTCACAAGCTTTGCAAGCTGAGTTATTCTCTACATCTCGTGACATGGTGGGAATCGCCGAGCCAGGCTTCGAATGAAAAATCATGAGAAGCTACGCCGGCATGCCCATTTGCTGCCTCCCCAACACAAGACCCCATAACGTAGCCAGCCATGTATGCTCCCTGCTTCTGTTTCGCCCGATCAGCAGAAGCTGTCGGCAACCGATGCTAATCAGCTAATCCAGGCTGCTGCGAGTCATGCCAGAGCCACCTGAGCACAAATGGCATTGACATGCCAGCAAGAGAGCGCGTGCCAACAGAGCGCTTCAGGATCAAACCTTCACAGCTTTGCTTTCCTCGCCAATACCAACTCTGCGACCGGTGCCACCAGGACCTCTGCCCCGGTTTCCGCAAAGCAGCCAAAATCTGATGAAGGGAGCAGAGGCTCAGACAATAGGGGCCGAAGATTTGAGCGTATCTCTTCTCATCGGCTTCGGAGATTGATGCCTCTGATGGGCGGGGAAGAAAGCTTGCTGACCAGAAGGTCCCAGTCAGAAACCCTCAAGAGTGCCTTTGCTGTCTCCAGTGCAGAGTACAGGTGACCTCAGCAGGTAAGATCTAGGCCCTTTCATGGACCAGAGTAAGAGAACCCAGATCCGGCCTATTCTCATGCTCGGCTGCTTGGACTGCTGCATGCCTCCCTCTTGCCTCGTCCACGACTGAGTCAAGTGCAGATCACATCATTAGCCCTAATCTCTCATGCGGCCGGCATTGACAAGCAGTGTGAGGTGAGGACGCCAAGGCTTCATTTACTGCTTCAATCTTCGCCGACGAGAACAGAGCGTTGACATCCTGCAGGTAACAAAGTGAGCGGAGGTTAAGGCCACGAGACAGATGGCACTTTGTAAATTTGACCTAGACCGGAACCACTACCACGAACGATGCGAGTCCGCACTTGTAAACAGCCGCGGCAGCTTCGAAACCAGTTTCTGAAGAGTGGCCTGGCAGCACGTTGCCAAGGCTTGCAGTCTGCGTGTCACCACTGCACAGTCTCCTCTTGCAAAGACTTGCGAGCAGCGTGAAGCCAGCAGACGAACGTCACTCTTGTTGCGTCCACTGTCTGCGTTGCCTGTAATTAATGTACAAAGCTGGATCAAACCAGCCGGGTCGTGCATGACGTCGATGCTGGGGCAACACTTGACAGTTCGAGCTGCCCAGCTCTCGGCAAGGCACAGGCAAGTCCGGACCCAGACAATGGGGCACTGAGCACATGCAACAAAATCTTTCAGGTCAAGGCCAAAGTGGTGCGAGTGTGACCTGTGACGTCGATGAGGTTCCTCATATCACTGTGCATTTTGTAAGACCTACCTTCTACCTGCTGCTTGCCATAAGGATTCTTCAGGCAGAGTTGCAACACTTTCTCAGGACTCTCCCGGCGTCGGACCAAAATTGATCAGTTTGGGATGTGGCATGATGCCCTTATCAGCTCCTCACCAAACTCAAAACTGGCTTCTGATCTGGATACGAAAAATTCAAGCGCTACGCAGTGCAAAGGTGAACAACCCAGGCCGCAAGGCGTCGTAGTAGGCAAGATGGCGGCTCCGGCGGGCGATGGCGCTTGCAGCTCCGCTCTGAACTGTTTTGGACAGTCCGTCGACTGCGCGATTTTTGCATACGACTGCAGTCCGGTGTCCAAGCTTACTTGCTTTGTCCATTTCTGCTTTTCTTGCCCTTCTTGCCATGCTTTCCCTTCTGGCCTGACAGGGACGACATGCAGCGCATCTCAACTCGGAATGTGCTCGAAGCTTGCCTTTGCTTGAGCCCTTGCCGAGGGAAAGTCGACGCTGGCGCTGCTTCCTTGGTGGACTGAAACTTCGGCTCAACAACATCCCAGAAGGATCAGCTTCTTCCCAGCTTGCCCAGTGTACCCCGGCCCCGGCCCTTAAAGTGCTTATTCCCATCTTTGAGCCAAGTTCACACTTTCACACAACTACCCCAACCACAACGTGGATCCTGGTTCAACTTGGGGCACGGTTCGGACTCATGTAGAGAGGAGACAAACCATATGCTTATCGAGCCTGTCGTCTTGATGAATCTTGCATGCACCGTGCTGGTTTGTTCCGACGGAACCCTGCCTATTCTGAGCGATGGCAGAGATGAGGTGGCTTCTGAGATAGTCGGATCGACCTGTCTAAAGTCTGAGGATCCGAAGAAGACCTTGATGTTAAGATGGGGTGGGTGGTGTCAGGGTCCAGAATAAAAACAGGCAAGTATTGGTACCCTTTACCTGCAATATCCTGCTACTTTAGGCCCAGGAGCCAGGCCCCGAACTGTATGTTCCAATCACGCCGTGACAAGTTGATGTCTGGTGGCGCTGGCATCTCCAACAGAGACCGGCCACAATCGTCGCAGACCTTCTGAATCTGGGCCTGCCGCTTTGCAACTTGGGCTACGCGCCCAGATCTGCGGCGGAGCGCTCGCCGTTCTTACAGGGTCCAAGAACACCCCAAAGAGCGCTCAGTGACGCATGTCCTAAGCTGATGGAATGCCGAACGCAGTCCTTGTGCCGAAGGCGTCCGCGTCACAGCTTGCTTCTCCACATCATGGGACGCAACTTCCTGATTCGGCAATCTGGGTCACAGAATGCAGCGGTCCAACCTACTCGATAGACCCTAGATTCGAAGTGTTGCAAGCTGTGTTCCCTCCTTCCTGCTTTTTGAACACTCATGCCTCCTCCCCACCTGTTGCGCATTAACGCATCTTTGAATCAATCGCTTCGCATTTTCAGTGCACAAAGTAAAACCGCCGCACTCTCCGGTTGCGGACAACCGGCCCGACAGCTTGCTGCAGAAAAGCCTTGCAAAGACCCCGACATAGAATAATGGAAGCCGTCCGGAAAGGACAGCGATTCAAACGCAGGCACGTGGGTTACGCGCGGCAAACTTTTTGCCATGCGGGTTTGGAGCCAGCTTCAGAGTTTAGACCTTCACGGGAGATTGGGGCTTTAACAACAGAGAACATGTATAATGTACGAAGACAGCAAGGAAGATCCCGTCGGGATCGTGCACCCAAGCTATGCAAGACACTATATACAGAGAGATATATATATATATATATATATACTCTACGTAGTTCCATGCATCGCGTGTGGCATAGGATCCCTCCCAAGACCGTCTGGCACTTCAACCCCAATCAAGTCCAGCCGTAAAATCTTGAATCTTGCGGAGGGTACCGAGTTGTCCCATAAGGCCCGCAAAACTGGCCGAGCACTCCAAACAAAATGGCTGCTGACATGCTCACTGAAGCCGTCGTGACAGTTCCGACAAGGCCTCGGCATGCTCGGCATGACCAGATGCCGATGCGCCAGAAGCGGACACCTGCGAATCGGTCGACACACGGCTCTGCGATGACGAGGAGGGACCTCAAGTTCATCATCCAAACAGCCGGCGCCAAAGACTGCTCACAGCAGATTGCAAAGAAGCCTTGGTCAGCCCAGCTCGGCCGCTTCTTTGGGGACATGACCCGCCGGCGTTCGAGAAGAAACCGCTTCAGAAGTCTGGCAAAGGTCTAGCTTCAGCTGAAGAAGATTCGGAGTTACTGAAAGTTAGCTGCACATGACCAAAGCTTGAACCGATAAGTTCGCTGTCATTGAGATCCCGAGCCAAAGGCGCTGCAAACAGCAACATGCTGGAGGGTTGATGCAGAAAGATCTTGAAGCTGCCAGCTTCATGTCAGCCAACACACACCTGACAGCTGATCGCAGGAGATTCCTTTGCAATCTGAGCCACGGGCCATCAAACTACTCCCGCCCGGTGTTGGTGGGCCGTGGCTTTGCTCCGGCACGAGGTTGTTCTTCCTAGCCGAGATCGCAGGCACGGGTTGCATGGCACGTGCGGACAACTTGCAATGCCTCGTCTCTCTGCGCCACGGATTGTAAAAAGCACATCATTCAAACAGCGAAAGCGCCTTGCGAGAATTTCGCATATGGCGAGCCTTTCAGATTCTGACGGGAGACCTTAAACTTTTCAGCTGCAGTGAGGTTGCTATTAACTCGTATGGAGTTTCCGTACCATGTCTTGCCATGCCTTGTCCTTTGCCACCCGGCCACACACAGACCCTGCCCCGTTTACGACATGCTGCTGTGGTTTGGGCCCAGGCCGCAGTAGCAAATCTTGTCGAAGCGCCCAGGTCGCATCAGAGCCGGATCAACCATGTCCGGCCGTCCCGTCGCAGCAACCTTGAATGCTCAGGTTCCTCCTCTGCAATACGTTTGCATTCTGCAAAGCGTCTGGCGACGAAGACGCGGCCTCGGTCCTCTACCTAGGCGTCCACGACACAAAATGCCTACAATGACAGCAGCTTGAGATCGAAACTGAGGCGTCGCACCCCATCCAAGTAGCAAAGCATCTGGTTGACAACTCGATCGGTCACCCCCGTCGAGTCAGCTGGCCAGGGAACGCACAAGATGCAATAATTGCAATGCTGCTTGCCCGCGTGTGGTCGCACCTCCCCGCTTTGGCGCCAACGCCTTCCAGGCCATTGTTGGCCAAGTAAAAAGCAACCAGCTTCAGCAGGAGGCCTCTATTTCATCAAAGAAAATCACGGCCGGAGCTGCTGCTGCAGCCCGCTCGAACACCTGAGAACGAAGGATGCTGATGCTGCAAGATTGTCTCCTCCATGTCCCCCAAGCGTGCCTTCCGTACACCGGCCTCTGACTCTCCAATATACTTGGAGAGAAGCTCGGGACCCTTCACTGACAAGAACCTGGCGCAGCGATCGCCGGAATCAGACCGAACTGAAGCCGTGCAGATGCAGACCAAAGCCTCAGAAGGCCCTTGGTTTCGGAGGCAGCTGCCTGCGAACTCAGGACCCTCTCGCATGTCATGTCCTGCTTCGCTAGACGTCAACACTCGATTCTGCGCCGGTGCAAACAGGATACAAAACCTTGGCTCTGAAGGCACTTCTTCAATGAGTTTGCTGTTTTACCAGATGACAGGTAGCACAACAACCCTAAAGAAGCTACAATTACAAGGGGTGACTCGCCGAACTCGAACAATCACAAAAATCACATAACCGGTGGATCCCGGACCGTCAACTCTGAAGGTACCGATATAAAACTTGAGCCTGCCAAAGAATTGTGGGTCGCCAAGCGGACGCTGCAATAACCACAAGACAATGGAAACTGCAAGAAAGTCTCTGAGATCTAAACGGAGCGTTTGGAATCAATTCCTACGCTTACAGAGTGAATGCGAGCCGAGTAAGCTCCGAGAACGAAGGAGTGACAGGTATCGGCAAAAAGTGGGGATGTGCGAGTTTGTATGGAGCGGGAGGCTTGGGTGCAAAACCCAAACACAAGTGATGGGCGGGTATTCAACAAGCGTGATGGGCAGCTTTAGGATCTCGGGTAGTGATTGGCAGCCAACCGCACACCCCGACAGCGCCCCTAGGCAGAAAATCTTACCTTTGAAAAGCAAACTCTGACAACCCCCGAGTTTACTGCCTACACCCTGGCGCGATAGAGCCTCCTGAGCCTGCAGTGGTCCCTGGTTGCATGGCACGACCCCGTTACCTGCTACAGCTGTCCCTGGTATCCGGGAGTCGGAGTGTGCTGTAGCTTCTTGTTTGTGCCCTACGCGGTTGCATCGAGCCTGAATCAGCATCGTCTTGCCACAACCGGGAGGGCCCACCAGCATCAGGCCCTGCATGTGTTGGCAAAAGTTAAGGTCAGCATCGACTCGCACTCTTTCGGCCCACCTTTCTCGTTCGAACAGGGGCGCGGTCCAGAAGAACGGCATACCTGGAGGCACAGCCAAGGCAGCCGGAACTAGTCTTGTGTTCTACCCTGTTGCCTTGTGGGCATGGTAAGCATGTCCATCAGTTCCTGGTGGTGTTAGGTGACGCCGATTCACACGAAGCGATGCGCACGGTCCTGCTTCACATCGGTCAGACCTCCAATGTCCTTCAGGCCTGTGTCCTGCAAGCACTACAAACATGATTGTCCGTCATATGCATTGCTGAGGACTCAAAGGTACCAGTCCGATGTGAAGAAGCTCTGGTCAGCCATGGCAGCTGGCACAAAGTCCTCCCAGGCGCTTTCGAGGACATCTGACATGACTGCATCCCGTAGGCATGTCAAGCAGGTATCCAAGCAGAATGTCACTAGTTCTTGTACCTCGCAAGCTTTGGCGAGATGCTGCATGGACATGCGCTGGCGGTCGCCCCACCTCGCAACAGGCACGCTCTTCGAGCTCTTGGAATGCGGCGCGGAATACTTTGCGGACCCAATCTTGGTGGTCTGACTCGGGCAAGCGTGAGTCTCCTCCTCGAAGCCTGCCAGCACTGGCATCGACTGTGGCCTGCAGGGCTTCGGCGGCCAAAATGTCACTGAAAGGAATGTTTACCAAAGACCTCGACACAAGCCCGCTCCACCACGCTGGCGAGATCTGCAACGCTGAAGCCGTCAATGCCTCAGCCACTCAGCCCCATTTTGAGAGGCTGCCTCGAGAGTGCCTACCCGCGAGAAGTTCCACAATCCGTGTCTTGATTGGGCTGTGCATGCAACTTGTCCTTTCCAGCTCAGATGGAAACGTCCAGCCCAGTCGTCCATTGCCCCTTCGGAAAGCAAAGCCTGGTCATGGGCCCAAAATGGTCTAAGACTCCAAAGAGCAAGAAGCAACGCCCAGAGACCGAGGCCTCGTCGACCTGGGAGCAAGTATGCTGTGCGAGGGAGATCAACAGTCACAGCGAGCCGGGGAGACCTCCCATCCATCTGCAACCTGCATGCAGCCCAACAACAAAATTCAAGAAGCTCTGTCTCCCTGCCGGTCCCGTCGGTCCTTGTGGTGGCAGAGGGCCTGCAGAATCTCGGGCCGCTCCTCACAGATATGATTTTTCAGTCGTGCGACAAGACCAGATGCCCTCCTTCAGCTGGGGCTGCCGAATCAGGACCTCGCACTCATGCATCTCGCGCTCCGTAACATCTAGGGCCGCCGCAAACATGGGCAGAACCTTGTGCTCCAAGGCTGGCCACGTCCAGAGCCTTGTCTCTCCGAATCTCTCCGAACCCTCCAGCGGCTTCGCTCGTATCAAGCTGCTCCATGTCAGCGTGTGCACAGCGCAAGGGCGTGCATGAACAGGTTTCGTGTGTTCGTGAAAACCGGCGCAGGAATTTGTGCAGTTGATACATTCGTGTGCATCGAGTTCGATCTAGGTCTCCCCCACTCCTCGGCTTGCCGTTCATCAAACTTTCAGCATCACCTGCCGCCCTACATAAGGCGGCCCGAACCCAAGCCGTTGGAGTTTCTCTCGAAGCGTTGTTCGGTTTTGGAGCTGAGAGTGCCCTTCCTGACGAGCTGCTGTTGTCCGAAATTAAACCCAGATTTCCACAATCGACCAAGGGTGGTGATTAGGACAGTAGTTTTTGTGTGCTTCACTGGCCTTTCCAACACCGCTCCACAACGTGGGCAATTCGCCAGCATTGAAGGAACCAGTTTGCAATTGGTTGAAGAGATCAACATGTCATAAGTCGACGACCTAGATGAACTAATGTAACAAGGCACGCTGTCCGACAAAGTTGGCCCAGTTGAATTAGCATGGCTCAACCAACAGAACCGCCAGTTGTTCTGCTCTGGTGATGCCCAAGGACATGGGCAATAGCTTCGAAGACAAACAGGAATGAAAGCTCGAAGTTGGAAAATTTCGTCCTCATGGCATGAATCGGGGGGCGCGCGCAGTCTGATGTGCACGCGCGACTTGCGTCCAACGCGCCGAGCCCCTTGTGTCTGACTTGCAAGTGCCGGAAACCTCATTGGGGCCGGACAGGGCCAGGGGAGGCCTGGAAGGCCTGAGTGTTACCCTGGTGCGCGTCGGCTTCCGCCGAAGGGAAACCGCGAACCCTAAACAAGACGCTCTACAAGCTTCCGGTGCCCTCGAACCGGCAAACCTGAGCCCTGCAAGGAGGTTGGTTAGGACCTGGAAGGCGAGATATTTGCTGGCAAGGCATTCCCAACAGGACGTCGTAAAGTCGTCCGAAAGATGAAACCTAGACGAACCCAAGATGAAACCTTAAAAGAAGGCAGAGCAAACCCCAATGTCGTCCCGAGAAGGAAACCCCAAAAGCGAGGAAGGCAGAACAAACTTGAAAATCCCCCTCCGAGACGAAGCTCTACAGGAGCATTGAAGTCGTCCCGAAGATGAAAATGAACCCCCCAAGTCCTCCGGAACAAAGACAGGCAGAGCAAACCCCAAAGTCGTCCCGAAGATGCAACTAACTGGCACAAAGCAAACCCTAAAACAGTCCCCTAGCAGAAGCCCTGGCCCGTCCCGAAGATGAAACCCCAGAGCAAACTGCACCGTCGTCCGGAAAATGAAACCCTACCTCGTGGAAGGCAGAGCAAACCCTAAAGTCGCCCCGAAGAGGAAACCCTAAGGCGAGGAAGGCAGAGCAGACCCTACTGTAAGGTCCTCCCCAAGATGAAGCCCTCAACGAAAGCAGAACAAATCCTGAAGTTGTCCCGAAAACGAAGCCCGCAGGCAAACACCTCAAAGCTAGGAAGGCAGAGCAAGCCCTAAGTGAAGGGCAGAACAAACCCTGAAGTTGCCCCGAAAATGGACCGCTGAAGTTCTCCAGAAAATGGAGACCCCTCAAGCGAGGAAGGCGGAGCAAACCCCTAAAAGCCGTTCCCAAGACGAAGCCCTGCAGTCGACCCGAAGATGAACCCCGAAAGCGAGGCAGAGCAAACCTGAAAGGTCGGTGGGAAGCCAAGGCCCTGAGCCCTAAAAGCAGATGCTTTTAGGGTTTAGGGTTTAGGGTCGGCCCTCAATCCTAAAAGGATCTGTTGGGTGGGATTCCGCTGCCAAGCCGTTACGCCTCAAAGGAGTTGTGGGGTAGGAAGCCCGCCTGGCTGGCAAAGCCCTAAACCCTAAAAGGAGGTACTGGGTGGGAGGACTTGTTGGGTGAGAAGCCGTGTATGCCAGCCGTAAACCCTCCTACCTTAGGCCCTCCGTCTTCGTCCCGTGAAGTGCGAACACGCTGGTTTTTGCGTCTAAACCCTACCCTAGACACTCCGTTGAAGTTTTCGTGCCGAGAAGTGCGGACACGTTGGCTAGTAACGGGACCCTGTGCGTGCCAAATGCGCTGCGTTTTGCGTGTGTGCCTTAAACTCCCCTGCCACGACTAGTTACTGGAAGCGATTTACAATGTCTTGGCGGATGAGCGATGTTGTCGATCCACGTACAATCGTGACCAAGTTTGGATTTCGGAAGAGAAAGTCTGTGCAAGAAGCCGGCTTGCTAACAGGCTCTTCGACCTTGCTGGAAATCAGAACGAGCTGCGTCCAAGCAAAAGGTGCCCGTACAAGGCATGCGGCATTCGGAAAATGTATGCTGATGCCTGCAAAATAAGCACTCGGAATGCCCAACCCCTTACCGGCAATGCAAGCTGGAAAATGGGCCGTCATTTTCAATGTGGGATCCGCCGGTGGGATCATACAGAAGTGGTGTGTCGCCGACCAAAGTTCTAGCACTGAGCTAAAAGCTATTCTGACCGCCCGCCTGCTTCCAAACGCAATGCGAGAATCCACAACATTATTGCAAAGCTTCGAGTCGACTTCGATTGCACGTGATTTTGATGCACGGGCCTCCTACGTCCATAGTCAATGCTCATACCGCGCTTAAGCAGAACTGCTTGCCGAAAACTCAGTTTTCAGTTGGTGGCAGGCTGCGCAGACCTTCCATTATTGTAGGGGATTTATGCACCACGCTGGCAAACCTTGCGGGTTGGGAGATTCTACAAGGCAGGGGATGGACACCGCATTGTGGTCCCTTTGCTGCCGACATGCCGACTGGAGGGCTCTGGTCTTGTCACTTGCTTCTTTTTATTCTCGTCGGTTGTTGGTCGCTGCTTTAATTCAGCTCCTTCCAGCTTCATTGGTGGATTTGTGCTTCGATCATGATGCATGATGAATCCATTCATGATATGGATCGCTGGCAAGCTGCTGTCGACCAACACGTTTGCAGCACAACTTTGGTTGTGCCACCTGTGATCACCTCGACAGCACTTGCTAGCACATCAGCTGACATCCGGGGCATCAGATCATGGCATTGCAAACAGGCGGGCAGAGTCTTGAGCGACTAAAGCGAAAACCGACAACGGCTGAGCTCGGCCCAGAAAGATACGATTGGGGCATGGGTATGCAGCATGTATACATGCATCCAAGTCCGTGTGAGTTCTTGCTGAAACATGTCCAAGCGGCATCCGATGCACCGATGCATCATCGTGCATTGTAGCAACACATGCCACGCGAGCACCCGAAGAGCGAACCTGCACAGGATCACTGCGAGATAGCGGGGGGCTCTGACCGTCAAGAACTCTGAAGATGCTGAGTTGCTGAGTGCCGTCGACACGGATAGAGACATGGATGAACAAGTTAACGACGAACAGAGTTGGTCAAGATAGATCCCCAAAACAACACCTGTGGCAAGACGTCCAAGATCATCTCTGCCAGCAGTGGTGAACGTTCCTGTTCCAGTACACGCAGCACATACGCCATTCTGCAACAGGAAACGAACTTGTGTCCACAACTGAATCAGCTGAGTAATCATGCCAACAGCTGCCTCAGACACGGAAAGATTCGGAGCTCCAGGCTCTACATCTGGGCCTGCATGCTCGTGCAAGAAGCTGGCAAGAGATTGACAGGCCCCCTGAGCGCTGGCCCCCTGAGCGCTGCACACAACGCTCCGAAATCATCCAGTCTTGGTGCTGGCTGGACCAGCATCGAAGCAACCAACACAGTCCAGCGATGCACTGCGACTGCTCACAAACCAGCTGCCCACCCCAACCCTCATCGAGTCCCATTTTCATGTGTGCCCTGGCACACAAGGAACACCATAAAAGTCAAATACAAGCCAATCAGCTCAGCAGTCTGATAAGCGGCCACTTCAACCTTCACAAGAGACCTGTCCTGCCGTAACCCGAAGCACTTGTAGGCATCAATCTCCATCATTCGAACTACACATTCCTTTCCTTGTAGAAGGAAACAGAATCGGAATACTTCGACTCTGTCCTGTGTCCCTCTTGCCCTGCTAGAGGCTAACTCAGTCAGTCAGTCAGTCATACGCCGTGCGCCGCATGGACGGGTATGGAGCCTTTCATTTGTTTGGCCTGCGCGGGGTGGGTGGGGTGCAGGGGGGTGCGGTACAATAAAAACCTTATAGCATATTGTATACAGCCTATGATGTGTTTTTCTATTCTGCTTGATTTAAGGCACTATGCTCATACAGGTTAAGTCATACTATCTTAAATTAGTTTCTATCCTGTCATGTTTTATCATGATATACTGAAACGCAAAACCAATGCTGTAACATGCCTTCGTAAATTACAGCAAAATACAATTCTGCACCACAGCAGCCGAGAAACTAACATCAAAATGACAACTACAAAATAATAACCGTAAGATTTAGTTGTCTATTAATAACTTTGCCGTATAAGTTCTGCATAATCTTGATATAGTATTCATATACGCATATAACAATGTCATATAACAGTGGCAAAAATTTTAACATATTTTACAGCATTAACGAAACTGGAGTTCACTAGTGATGTAAAAGTTTGTATGATTTCAAAATACATGTTATAGTGAAACAATATCAATATTAAAGAGATTAATACAACTTCTATATGAAAGGGCTCATCTAATCTAATCTAATCTAGTCTAATCTAATCGTATCTAATCTAATCTAATCTAATCTAATCTAATCTAATCTAATCTAATCTAAGTCATGTCAACACGGTATGTTGCCTCCACCTGTATGTTGCGTCGAAGCCCACTTGTACTTAAAGACTTGCGCCTCCAGCCATCCCCCCCTTCCTCCCCCGCCCCTACACCCCCCGAGCTCACGCAGCCGCCCGGACCCGTGCACGTCACCCACTCACCCCCCGCAGGCCAAAAAGAAAGCAGGAAAAAAACTCCTTTCCCAAAACAAGCGGATCCGTTTAGATTGTTTTCGCACCAGGTCATGCCGAGAAGTGTGGACTTTCTTCACAGACCATTTCTCTTGTGCGTCGTCTGAAGCCCAGCATTCGAAGTTCTTCACGGCAGAGTCGTCTTCGCTCATGTTCCAATCGCGCACAGCCAGGAAACAAGGGCGGAACCCGGAACGACCTGCAGTGCACTGAGCACGCGGCAACAGAACGCAGGGAGAATACCAACACGCGAAGGAAAGAATCGATCGCAGCCAGTCCTGAAGCTCTGCAGTGATGGGATCACAGTGCAGGCAAGGTAGGAAGGAGCACTCCTGCACTGCCTTGAACTTCCTCCCAGGTCCAAGCTTGCTGCAAGCAACCTGTCACAAAGACGCATAGAGGAAAGGTCATGCCATGCTATCTGCCTTCAAGCCTGCACAGCTAGAACTCCTTCCGCCACGAGGTCACCCAGTACCCTCTGACAAAGTCTTGACTTGCCAGACCTTGGCCGTGCAGTGGCTACCATCTTCCCTAAACCCTAAACCCTAAACCCTAATTCCTAAACTTGAAGCTGTTTCAGCTGCTGCTCTCAGCATGCGGCCCGGGTGGTCCAACGACAGCAACGATGCCTCGGAGCTGTCCATTTCAAGATTTATTGCGAAGGACGACTTGCAGGGGGCATCACCGGGCAGCATTGGGCATTGGGATGGCCTCAAACATCGGAACGAGCAAGAACTGCTGCGCTGCATCGAGAGCATCACAAGCTCTGCAAGCTCCGAGCAGTGCATCGGTAGTCGGCATGGGAAGATGGCACCCCAAGGAGGCCTGCGCCGACTGTGCAGAGATGCCAAGAAATCTGGACTCAGGAGCGGAGAGGGACCTCCACGTAACGATGCAGACTGGAGTAGGGCTCTGAGAAAAGACTGGTTGTGTCGATGGAGTTCTTGCCTCACGACCAAATGCACACGACTTGGCTTGTGCAGTCTCATCTGAGATTCTGACAGGGTGCATGCACAAGCTGCATGACCTCCGCCCACTCCTCGCAGAAATGCTGCAGCATTGCTTAGAAAGCTTTCGACCCAACGCTGGATGGAGAGCCTCTGGAGCTGGTATGGGCATCGCCGCCCACATCACACCTTCAAACAAGAATTCGCCAGACACGCTAGAAGAAAGGGAAGGCCGAACTCACCTAGTGGCTCCACGTTGTGACGAACAGGATCACCTGGTATCACTCCGGGATGGAACTCAACACTGGACGAAACCGAGTATCTGACATGGGGTCGCAACAGACATGATGGGCAATGCTCCATAGGCCTGTGCCTCCCAATAAAGGTTTCGCCTTCCATGTGTAAGGCCCCACCTTCAATTTACCTTCAATCTATAATAAGTTGTGATCTCCTTTTGAAGATGGGGTGTTTTTCTATTCTGCGTGGATTGGCTCCTGGCCTCGTCTAACAGGACTATTCCTTTCCTGCTGGGATCTGTGAAACACCGACGTGCTCCAGTTCAGACGGTCTCGCTAACTACACGCAGCAGCTTCTTACACTGCTGCGACAAAAATGCGGACTTTTCTCAAGATTGTCTCTCCTCCCCCTACTCGTCGTTGCTGCTGGTTCAGTTTGTGATGATCCTGTTCTGGCCAGCTGTCTTAGAGAAGACAAAAAACTCAACAAAGGGCCTCCCATTGATTGCAAACACATCACAGCACCATGAACGGCTAGACGCCGATGGGCAGGTGCAAAGAGATTATGCAAGCCTTCGTGCGTGCCAGTGCTCCATTCTCCAGTGCAGCCCGTTCGTCTCGTTTCACATCCGCTGTCCGCTCATGGCACTGGCCCTTGAACCAAAGTAAGTGCAGCACCGTCCTCCCAGGCAATGGTCACCCGCGGTTCTCCCGCGAGCAGACCACCCGCAGTGATCCGTGTGAAAGGAGGCTTGTCAGGACCGCTCCTGGACGAAAGAAGCTCAGGCTCAGATTCACAGAATCACCGGCATGGCAACGAAGACGTCCTGAAATCACGTGCTGCCCCCACAGCAAAGCGTATGTACACGAGAACCACCTGCACGGCATCTTCAACAGCCTGGGGACTGCCTCTGCCTCTTCACTTGCCACGCCTCTGGATTCTCTTCCAGGGCCCAGTGCTCTTTGGCTGCTGCACCCATCGGGAAAATTGAATCAATTTCAGTCTTCCTCAGCCGGAAGTTGCAGTTGCATGTGAATCGAACAGAGATGATCTGAGAGCAGGACACATCGAAGTCAAGCCCAAGGTCCACCTGTGGTTCTGACCAGGCCAAGGAAACATTGAAGCACACAACGGCATGTGCCGAACCCTTAGGATGTCGAGCAGTCACGTCCGAATGCAACACGGCTTCAGAGCAACTTTCGCATAAAGGACACCAAGTCAACAGATGGAAAGTGCATTTTCTGCGCCCCCTTTTAGAGGCGGAATTGAACCTATTTGTCTGTTCCGAACAAACCACCATTCCGATAAGTGCCAGCAGGGTATGCTGGTAGATCGTACGATGCAGGCTCGAAGACCTTCACATAGTCAATATCAAAGAACGCCTTTGTCTTCAAGGGCTGTTCTGCGGAGGGGTTGGAGACGTAGATCGTGCAGCAATCCGTGGCTGGCTCGGTCACATGTCCCGGGATGCAGTAGTCCGGCACGTAGCCGGTCGCACGGCATTCTTCACAGCCCCACCAGCTATTGCCAGCCCAGTCGCCGCAGATTGCTATGTTCAGCACAATCTCCTGCGGCCTCGCAATGCCAATGCAGGACGCATCGTCAAAGGGCATGAAGGCCATTCGCCACTCGCTCTTCCAAGTGTTTGGTCGCGGTTGATTGGCGGACAGATCCGAAGGGATCTCACTCTCGGGAATGTGGAAGTAGCTAATTCCACTGGCGTCCCACAAAAGAGCCAAAACTCCCGGATTCTTGGAGTACCACTCACCGGTCTTTCGGACTTGTGGCGGCAAGCAGCCCAATTCGTTGCCGCTGTAATTGGTGTAGCAGCTGACAATCATCTTCGGGTCGATGTCTTTGATGTCCTCCGAGCATTGCAACATTTTCTTCACATTAAGATTGCATCTCTTGTCGGTGTGGAAAGTCACCTTGTTTGTTTCATCGTTCGCATATTCAAGGATGTCAAGCTCGCCACCCTTGGGCCAGCTCGTGTCACTGTTCACCAACCAAAATGCTGGCCAAACTCCTGGTCCGTATGGCACATGCTTGTACTTCATGACCACAATGAAGCCAACGTCTGGGCGCCATGCTTGCGCAGAGTGCAGCATGACTGAGCGGCGCTTAAAGGGCTGCACCTGCTCCCCGACACGCATCGTGGCTCCAGCCTTTGACGCAAAGACCACACCTCGATGAAAGGCTTCCGTCTTGTTCAGGTACCACTCGGCACCCCTCGTCTCGCTCTTGTTGATAAACTGCCAACCATCAAAGAAGGTTTCGCCTTCTGCGCTCCAGGCGAGCTTGTAGTCGTCGTGTAGGCTACCACAGCCAGGCGCCTGCTTGGCCCGAAATTGTGGCAGCCCCAGTGCAGAAGCACTGAACTGGTCTGTTGGCCCATTGTTCACCTCCTTGCAAACACGTGGACCCGAAATGACTCCGCTGTCATCCGGCCCCGTGTACTCTTGGGGGTAGGCCAAGTAGCTTGTCAGCAAACAGGCACCATCGGTCCAGTAGGAAAAATGTTCGCATTTGTATGTCGATGCACACAGGAGCTGGCAAGCAGCGGGGCTGATCTGCTGTGTCTTCGATGTCCCCTTCATTTGGTACACTCCCGGTTTTTCCACCCAAAATGATTTGTTTAGCCAACACTTCTCTGTCTTCATACCGGTGAGGTCGAATTCCATGACGGTAGAAGCTAAGTCTGCCTCTGCCAAGGTACTCGAGACCTCTGCATGGCTAGTGTCAAAGAAGCCGCAAGCTGCCAAGGCAGTGAGCAGGAGCGCTGCCGCGACAGCAAGGCTCCGGGCGGCCCACTTCGACGTAGCCGTGCTGCGTCCGGGGACTTCACCAGTTTCAAGTTCTGGTGTGAGGAGCCGGTCGTCCCCCTCCATCGCTCGAATCTACACTATGGCGTGACACCTTGCCTGAAGGCGCTTTGGTCCAAACAACGATCACCAGATATGACCAGCTTCAACCGAGGTCGACCCCTTTCGGGAAGTTGCAGCATGTGACATGGACTTGCCGCTGTTAACAGTCATGCCTCGTACACACCAAGACCGTCCACAAAGATGGGAGGGTCCGCATGCCGCCTCACTGCAAGCAAGGAAGGACAACAACCACGGCAAGACGATGCATCACGACATGAGATGCATCGACATGTTCGCCGCTTCACGAGAACAGCACGAGACTAAGATTGGGCTGGGACTTCTCGTGTAGGGACCCAGCTGATAAATGTCGTCAATGTCCGACAAGTCGTCGTACAAGTCGACCTCCCACCGGGAGACGTCGGAAGTAGAGCTACCGAAAGGGTGTACACTTGTCGAGATCTGCACACACATATACTGCCATGCAGCTGCATGCGATGTCGAGCCACATCATAATGTCTGCACAGTATAACAGGGCATCATGGCAGAATGCCTAGTTTGAACGTCGTGACCTGACATAGTAGAAGGTGCAGCACGACGCATTGTCGCGTGCTTGATTTTGCAAGACTAAGCCAGCCCTAAGACCGTTCGCTTTCTGACTCAGTAGCCACTACATGATGCGACAAGTCCACTGAGCCCTTAGGCTGGCAGAGGCTCTGCCAGAGTTTTGTGAAACGTCTGGGATCTTGAAAATTGGACAGGTTGCATGCAGGTTTCCGGGTTTCTCGCACCGCGACCAGGACTTTCCAAGCCGGGGCTCGGAGAGCTTCACCCGTGTCGCTGGTGTTTGCGATGTTCGGCACGCTCAATACTTCCACAGCGCGCTTGTGGGAGCAACATTGAGCGTTTCGGGCCTGGCGAAGGGCGTTGTGATTCCTCGAGCTACAAAACGCAAGAACAAACCTCGGCATACTTGATACGTTTGCAACATCATGCATTCAACGAAATCGCATCTCTTCCGCTGCTCCAGCATGCACTTGGCAGAGCAATGTTAGTCCGACAGGCAAATTTGGTCCAGCAAACAGCGCACAGCGGCGACACTGCACATGCAGCCTCCTCCAGGTTGCTCTCGCCTAGCCATCAAAGAACTTGAAGCTCTTCCCACACTTCGATAGTCTATTCAAACTAGGATGGCCTGCAGACGATCTTATGGACGTTGCACGTGCTTCCGGTGGCACATTTTCCTCAGCAAAGGTGACCGCAGCCCGATCCCCGACGGCATCCAAACAGTCACACAGACCTGACCGCACGCCCAGACCACACGGAAGACAGAATCTCTGCTTTTTCACATGCTGTACGAGCCTGCCCAAGTTGTTTTTGGCCGAGGTCCGTAGCTAGACTTGGCGAGTCCAACTGGCTGGTTGTCTTCATACCTACAGCACTGCTGAGTCCTCCGGATGCTGCAAAAATTTCCACATCCTTACAAGCAAATGATACATCCCCTATCCTTTGCAGAGGAGTTCGTGATGCAGCAAGCGAAAACAGAAGGCAACTCAGACGGACGATCACCTACCTGCAAGCTCCCAGCGTGCGACTTGATTCCATCTGGTGGGGTGAGCTCAGGAGCACGCCGCAGCTCTCGGTCGTTCGGCTTGCAGACGAAGGACAGAGCCATCCGCCAAGTCGATCTGAGAGCACACATGCAAACGCCATCTGCAGCAGAGGCATGGAAACATCTGGCAGAGCGAACTGTGCAATGTGTTTTTTCCCGCGGCTTGCTTCCCTGTCATGCTCTTTGCCGTCAGTGCGGATTCATGTGGAATTTGTGCGCTTGGCATGAAGCCGTCGTGCCATGGCGCGCCGCTTCGCGAAGAACTTGAAAAAGAAGCGCTCCTGAAAGCTGTCGCCAAGGCAAGAGATTATAATAAGGATCCTACTATTTAGCGTAATATACTATATTAGGGTCCCCTATTTTCGGAAACCCCGACACGTCACTTCAAGCTGCACAGCCAGCGACCCTTTTCTAGTGACACAGTGCCTGTCTCGGACACCTAGATCAAAAGACTACAGGTCACGGCTCTCCTCTATTCAGCTCAGCTTATGACGCAACTACAAGGATTCTTTTCTGAAGGTTGCTGCGGTGCCCAGCTTCACTGGAATCAGCACGTCTTAAACCCCGGTAAAAGGTGGAAAACCCATAAAAAGCTTCGAAAACAGAGGCGCTCGGAATCAAATGTTGTGGTAGCATTCAGAAGAGTCGAGCATCAAGCTTGGGTTGTCTGTAGTTCCGGGGTATCGCCGTGCTGCTCCGTCAATCACTTCCATGAGTTCTAAACACTACACCCTCAGCCCCAAACCAACCTAAACCCTAAACAGACCTTAAACCCTAAACCGACCGTAGACCCTGCACCTCAGACCCTAAATACAAACTTCGAGTGGTTCCCTGTCTCCGCAAGTCCCAAAATGCGTGAAAGCCGAGTCCGAAACCAGCCATGAAGCTCTCCTAAAGGGGGCCTCTGCAAAAAGCAGGGTATATAGGGTTTAGGGTTTAAGGTTTAGGGTTTAGGGCCCTCATAGCATGCTCACACATCGCAGTGCGATGAGGAGACGATCAGTGGCAGGCAAGGGGCTGAAAAGGAGAAGCAAGACATCGCGAAGGTTGGAAGGGCTGCCTTGAAGACAGATCTGCAGCCACTCAACATCTCCTCTGGCTCCACGAAGTGACCACCGTTTGCTGGAACATCGATGGCAGGAGCTGCCGACAAGCCGAATGCGCTGCTGTGTCTACCAGAACACACAAAAGCTGCCTCCAGTCCAGCATTCGTCGCAGCCTCTATGAGCTGCGTGGAATCTCCCACAACCAATGTTTTAGCCCCCTGACTGCGGATATGTTTCAGGATGTGCAACAGCTGCGACTCCGATTCGCTCGCGAGCGCCTGATCATAATGCAGGTCTTTACACAGGCCCAAAGTCAAGAGTGCCGCAGAATCAGGTGATTGCAGAATGATCACCATGATGCCACACTCTTTGAGCTCACGTAAGCAATCCTCGGCCCAAGGAAAAATCTTGTTCGAGTTGTATACACATCCCTCACCACCAACCACCACCTGCCCAAAGTCCGTCGCAAGTTCCTGCATTCCACCCCCGAGCCACCGAGGTGTTGCGTGAGCCTTGATCCGATCCCGGCACGTGCGCAAGCATCTTCTGCGTGAAGGCGTTTTAGTGGATGCAAGGAAGCAGATTGCAAGTCCGAGACGACGATTTCCATGGCAACTGAGGAATTCAGAGGTGCTGGCGGGAGCGCGAAGGTGAGGTGTGCGGCGACTGCAAGCCGTCACAGAGTCCCCACGAAAGACTTTAGGCTGCAACTGCATTTTCGCATCTCGAGCCCTTCGGCTGAAGACCAAGAGTCGAACATCTTCCACCCTCGACGCAGTGTTCAATGACTGGGGCCCGCACTCCCTCGCAGGACTTTATGAGGGCTTCGAAACGTCTTCGGATCCAACAAACATCTTCTCGAGCAGCAGAACCAACAACGGCTCCTGAGTGGCTCACATTCTCGGCATTGAGCACGTTCTCATTCAAACGCTTCTTCTGGTATGTCTGACGGAATTCCAGATGACGAGCTGGCAAATGAACCTCGCCATGAGTGTGCGTCTGTGTATGGGTGTGCTTACACTACTCGTGCCCCTATCTAACACCAGCAAGGCCATCAAGATATGATGAGAAAGAAGCGCCATGGAGCACGTTGTTTCTGACACCTTTTGTCATGGACCTTTGTTCCCTCTAGTTCCTTTGTCGCCCTTGCGCTCCTGGCGTCATGACGCGATGCATGTTTGCCTATTTGCATTTCTGCTTCCGGCCTCTAGACTCTAGCTCTTCCCTCGTGCAACTCGCCTGTTGCTCTTCAGATTCGCAGAAAGCCGCACTCCCCATTTGATGAGGCATGAATTTTCCGGCAGCTCACACGTGCAGGTTTCTTCTGTGCAACTTCTGTAGCAATCGTCAACTGCTTTTTCTGCCACCTTCTAGGGCTTCTCCCAACCGTTCAGGACATTCTGTGATATCTTCGCATTTCTCCTGCTAGTCAAGTCTGGAAGTCTTCTCGGCTAAGTCTGCCAACAGCACCAAACCAAGGCTAGCACTAGCGAGCCAGGCCTGTCTTTTCTAGGTCTCTCCCTCTCCCTCCCTCTCCCTCCCTCTCCCTCCCTCTCCCTCCCACTCTCCCCCTCTCTCTCTCTCTCTNNCTTCCACACAGTCAAGAGCACGGCAGACACCGCTGTCTCTCTCTCTCTGTTCTGTTCTGTTCTGTTCTCCGGGGTACGAGGAGCCGGTCAGGCTCCCCGCGCCGATTGGCGCGTCCCTGTTTAGGGGCTTGTGGGGCTCGGAAAAAGACATATCTCTCTCTCTCTCTTTCTCTGCAGATTTTTGCGGACACAGTGTTGGAGTTCCATTAGACTCCCGCGTGTATACGTGAACTGACGAACGAATTCAGCGATGGTTCCGTTGACCCAGTGCTCTGGATAGCAGGGCACCAGCTCAATGTGTGGCATGAACACAGGCACCTGTCCATGAGGTCACACTCCAAATGACTCCAAACTAACAGCTGAACAAACGGATAGGCCCGCCGCGCCTGGTGACAATAGCAGACATTCACCACGCTGAAACATGGAATCCTCGCCCAGGTGGCCAAACAGGCCTTGGATGTTTCGAAGCCGACTTCTACGATCACTGCAAGGCACAGAGCACGAGCTTTGACACAAGGCTCGGGCGCTGAGGGCGATGTGTCCGCAGGGAACCTTCACAAGATCAAGAGTCGCTGGACGGTGTTCCGCTGGCTGGACATGACAAGCCTTGACGTCCACTGTGAGGCGCAACAAGTGTGCACTAGGTGCAGAAGCTGCAGGCCTGAAATGAACATGTGCAGCAATCGCACATGATACAGGTATGTATGTGTGTGTGTACATATATATATATATATATGATATGTATATAAACACACATACAGTAACATACACCAGTCATACAACGACAGTAGAGCCGAGACAGAGCAAAGCTGTCGCACCACCACCCGGCACTCCGAGTGAGAACCCCCTTTCAGCATGGGGCTAGCACCCGCTGTATGCCTAAGGCAGTGCAAACCCTGATACTCTTCCAAGACAAAATTACGGTTGATGCTGGTGGGTAAAATTCCCTCACAGCACAACAACATCATACGACTAGAAGCTGATCAAGCATGAAGCTCGGGTGTTGTCTGCACACACACCCAACTATGCATCTCTTCTTCCCTGGTGCGAGGCACCCCAGCAAAGTAACTATCAACGGCACCAGGCTGTACATGAAACCCTGCCGCCTTCTCTCTCCCGTTGAGGTGGCGTCGGGTGGCATGAGCCAGGCAAGACAACTCTGCGAGCCACCTCCACAGAAGTCATCCAAATCCTGGCAACGGTGACCAGATGCAGAAGCATCGCGACGTGACAGCATGGCTCCTCCTTGGCAACTCTGCCTGCAGGGGTCGAGGACTCCTCGATTCTTGAAACTGCATGCCATTCCTAGTCTCGACAGCTGATTTTCGCCCAGCCCGAAACCCTCCGCAGGCCCGCTGCGTTACGACTCTTACGACGTCGGATGGACTTGAAAACGAATGAACACAGTACAACATCGAACTGTGCCACAGTTTAATTGCCACGGCTTCATGTGCAGAAATTTCGGGAGAAAGATGGAAGGAGCACAGAAAACCGAAGGACTCAGCAACTCCGAAGGCCGAATTCATCTTCCTGCTCGTCACCCCTCCTCTTGAAAACTGCAGACTGTGCCAGAGGAAAGCTGGTCCTCATCCAAAGACATGACACGGAAAGAAGCGAAGGCTGCCGTCTCGGCGCCGTCCCCCATGATGGGAACCTCGGACTTACCACTCTCTGCCAGTTTCTCTTTTCTGTGCCGCGGAATCAGAGCTCGACTGCATCCACCGAACGCCTTTTCGACTCGATCGCCAGCTCCTTAGCAAATCACCATTCGACATGTGGGTGCTGGGTTTAGGGTTTCGGGTTTAGGGTTGGTTTGCCTGTCGAATTTGCCACACAGGCGCCGTGTCGCGACCCAGCACAAAGCAGGCAGACCTGTGTTCACGCGCGAGATGTTGACGATGAAACTCACGAACACTGAGAGTCGAGCTTATTCGAATCTGCTGCATCAACGCGTAGCTTTGCAATCAATTGTCCATGGACCTAAGCATCGATGTTTGCTGAGCTACAATGAATGCACACAGAGGTTTCCTCTCCTCAATAAGGTAACCGCCCAGACCGGGAAGCTCAGTCCTGGCATAAGCACTGCCACCTGACAGAATGTGAATCTTGTCTGTGCAGTGCAAGACAATTCGAACGGTCGTGACAGCTTTTCTGCAGTGATATGCCTGCGACAGCAAGTTCTCTTCAATGAAGCTTGCCTGCAACTCGACGACCTGCAAAGAAGCACGGCCTAGCAAAAAAATCAAGCCACCAGCTCTGCAACGCCTCCCAGTCATCGATGCTGTTCCTCAGCAATGACATAATCCATCTCTCCCTCTCTCCCTGGCTCGCTCTCTGCCTCTGTGTCCCTCTCTAGCAGGCTTGAGGGAAGAGCAGCCAGTTCCCAAGCGAACGTGCATCTGCAGCGTCCTTGCCCTGGTTTCACCCTAGAGGGCGTAAACTACAGAAGACGTAGCTCACCATGCGAGCTAGTTCTAGCCCCCGACTTCTGTGAGGCCCTACCGTTGAGCGTTCTGTAACTGGACGGAGCTGTGGATGACACGGGTCCGGCGGAGTTCGGGAAGCAACTGCAGAACACAAACACCATGCAAGGGTACATCACTCTGGTCCCTGTGTCATAAAGTCCCTGACGAGGCGGTTCGGCATGTCTACTACAGTTAGCAGCGAGGTAGCTCCTGTATGGCATGGGTTTCGGGAAAAGGATAGCAGTGGAGAGGGGCACTTCAACAACACGATAACGGGAAGTCATCGGTTTTAAGTCCCCGCGCCGTAAGCTCTCTTGCTGCTTTGGCTGTTCAGTTGGACGATTTTGGCTATTCCAGTTCCTGAGCTGTCTTGGTGGCCCTTTTTTGGCATGGGCCCTCGAATTCGTTTTTAGGCAAGCATGGGGAAAAGGTTTGCAAAACATAGAGGAAATGTGTGCCTGTTTGGGTTCTTGTGCCTTGGTCGCATGGTTTACTCGAGGAAGCTCTACTGCAGTTGCTACTGGGATGGAGCCCCGGCAAGCAGACGACACTGAACTACAGCAAAACGGCGTAGCAACCGTCGATTTCAAGAGCAAGGTGACGGAAAGCCTCTCCCTATCTCAGTCGGTCCAAAGCGCAGAGCAAGTCCGCAAGTGAGACCACTGATGTGCAAACCGTTATCATGCGATAATACTTTACAGAATGCTACTCATCCTAGCTGAGTTTCACCAAGAGTCGGCTGTACCATGACAGATGTGGCAGTGGGAGCTCGGTGAGGGAAAGCATCCACCTGCTCTCCTTCTTCCAAGCCCAAGCATTCTGCAAATGGTTTGGAAAGCACCAATCTGCCAGGGGTGAGGGAATGCTCACCTACCCAGCCGACGAATACATCTCCGTCTGCACGCTGGAGCCGCAAAGTTCTGCAAAACTCCCGTCTCGGCGGTCGAAAAAGCTCGGAAGCATCCTTGTCGTGCAAGGATGCATAGCAGCTTGGTTTCTCGCTGAACTCCACCACTAGCTTCATCCGTCAGCATCACATGGCTGCTGCATCATGCGTTGAACAGGCATGAGGTGCCAAGCAGTTCTACGGTGCAGGATCCTGCATCGTCTTGTGTGATGATCGTCAATGTCTGTCTGTACTGCCTCCTCGAACTCACACATGTGCAATGCTACACAGCGCGTCGTAAACGGCTTCGGAAACCACAGATTTTGTCAATTTTGGCTACAGTAGGCTGCAATCCGGGAGAACCGTCGAATCCGTCAAGTCAACCTCGCTCTTTCTGGAAGCTATGCTCATGCATTTCGTCATTTGGGGCGCCGAAGAGAAAATGCGCGAAAAGCGTAAGCAGTTTCTTCTGTACAGGCGGATTGAATCAGCATGGGTTGATCCGTGCAGCTAAGAGTTGTGTTGAGGGTCATGTGTTTGAAATGCACACAGGACACCTCATAGCAACTCAGAAGCCCATCTCGGGGCAGGCGACCTGCAAGCGACAGATATGAGCCACTTCCCGCCCCCCCACCCCGAACTTGCAACTTGCGCTCAAGAATACGGCAGCCTTTTGAACTGTTCCTTGATCAACCAAGACCTTCTTCAGCTTGTGGTACTCCTGGTGCTTTACGGAAGCAACCAGCAAGACGCACTGATGCTACGGACTCACAACAACTTCAAATCTGCGCCTGCGGGTATCTCTCGAGCATATCGTCATGGAACTGATGGTAGATCTGTCACAGTAGACATGCGACAGAAAAAAAGAACACAGTTGGCCTTACTCACAAGCGAAACGAATCGAAGCTTCTGCACTTTCCCGTGCTGCACGCCTCACCCTGGTGGAAGGGAAAGCTGTTCGAGTCGTAAATCTGGGCATGGCAAGAACAGCGCGCTTCTGAAGCTTCTTCGCTACATCAGGCCTACACCAATAGAATGCTAAAGCCAGCTCACCCACACTTTCTTCGTGCCGACGGTGTCTGCATCATTGCCCTGCAGCAACATCCAGGCGAACAACATGACATCACCATTGCTAGGCATGCCGTCACTGCTTGGCGAGAAGTGGAGATTGCGAGAACAGTCGACTGCCCTGCGTTATCTAACATGAACTCATCTGATTTCTGACATCGCCCGTCCTGACCGCGAACCAACTGAAGCCGGCCATTGTTGGCAGCTTCGACTTCTTTGAATAGAGGTCCATCCATGCCGCCTGTGCGCGCAAAAACGATGTAGGATCTCCATCCCCAAAGCACCACCCGAGCCGTGCTGCGATTTCCTTGGAGAAGCCGTTTTCCCTTTGCCGGATTCAGAGAACTTGCAGTCCTGTACAGCCTGCAGATGCATGTCGCACCTGTGCAAATCCGATGTTCATGCACAGAGGGCACGCTGCATAGATGCTCCGCTGCACCGGCAGAACAAAGGTTCTTATTTCGAGACTGATGGATCTGCGGTCTTCTCCGAGTGCATGGACCATGCATCATCGAAGTCTAGCTGCACCGCTACGGCCTTTTGAACTTCTTCATGTGACAACAAAATAACAGCGATGGCTGCACTTTTGATTCCCTTCACCAATTCCAGCCACATTCTTGGTTCCAATTCGTCTGGAGCAGGAAGCACTTCGGCCTTCGAGGTTCCAAGCCACTTTCCCTCTAAGGCTCCCTCTGCGCTGGTGCGGGCTAGCGCGTCTACTTGGCGTTTAAACTGCTCCAGTGTGGCATCCTCCAGAGCCTGGCAGTCTTTGGCCTTCGTGTAGTGCTCAACTGCGCGCCTCTGATCTTGCTCGCCCTGCCTCTGTCGTTTCTGCCGGAGATCATTAGACTGACCAGGCTCCGAGCAGGATGCCAATCGACAGTTGACATGGTGCCAGATCTGGTTCCACGCGTACCACTTGAGATCTGATGATATCTCACGTGGCAGCAGATTTCGTCGAGAGGACAGCGGCATGAGTACGCATGCATGCGGGAATTGTTGCCAGACTCCGCAAATCCACAAATCTATCAACAGCTGTTGCATGATGTACGGAGATTAGCGACAATAGATTTAAACAAGGCTCTGCATTTCAACAAGCCGAACTGTTCACAGGAGCTGCTTGCTAGAATCTGAACGCATATCTTGACACGAGCACAGCTCCACATAGGTGGCGACTTTTGCGGTACATTCCGAAACGCAACCGTGCCCTGGCCAGTATGGCCTGGAATCCCAATGGCCGAGCGGTACTCCGTTCCACGGTCCTTTCCACATGTCATCACACGTCAACATGTCGACAACCTGCAACACTGATAAGCCACTGATGCGAAACTAAGATGAAAAGGGCTTCTTGCCTGTGGATCTGCGCGGCCAAAAGGGTACTTTGCTGCAGCATCGAAGTAGGCCTGAGGCAGTACGTTTCTACACCGTGGGAACGTAGCGAGGTCTGTGGCCGCGCCTTGGCAAAGGCACCGACCTTTCCCTCGGGGACGGAGACATTCACGACCTCCCACACCAAAGTTGGAGTTGGCGTACACAGTACGCTCCTTTGCAAGCTGCGCCTCTGTGTGGCCCATCCGGCCATAGTCAGGAGCCATAGCCATGTTGTGGTAGCACACCTCCCCATTGCCACCCACCTGTTCAGCTTCTTTGACAATGGAGGGGCGCACATCAAGGGTGGGAAGGACACGGCTACATGTTTCCTTGATGGTGATCCGGTGCATATTTACGAAGTTCGCGTGAATAAATCAACCTCACTAGGTGCACTGCTGTCTACTCCAACTTGAAACGAGGCCACTACATCGGTTTCCCAAGCCTCAATCAAAAATTGTGCTAGGGTACATTCAGACCAAGAGCACCCGACCACCAGGACCACCACAACCGACAGGGACCACCCAGAGACCGCCAGGAGACCATCAGGAGATCATGAAGTTCCTGGCGACCACCACGCTCCCCCTGATTTGGAGCACGGCCAAAATGCTTCCGCCCAAATCTACTGGCAGATTCGGAGATACGCCCACCATGATTGCCCCCATCAACTGGCGAAGTTCAGGGCTACTACACTGATGCTTCCCCTCATATGCTGGCATTTTTGGAAAGACGGCTAGTACCGGGATTCAAAATTTCGAGGCCAAAGGCCAACATTCTGGAACTCACAATGACACATTCAAGTCTGTTGGCAGCTGGCTTCGCCCGACTGATACACTTCAAACCTACATCCACTCCGAACCCCACTCCAGAACGAAAACCAAGACGCTGACCCTACTGAGCCCACACTCAAATTCTGCCCACGCAGACCACACTTCTATACTGTTCTGCCAGAAGCACAATACGTTCGAATCACTTCCCACATCCAGCGTGAAGCCTTAACCCTCAAGCCAAGACTCCGAAAACCTCAAGCAGACCGCCTTGACGGTCTTAAACCTGCATTAAGCCTGCTGTCCACCACGGCTTCATGCGATTGACGAACCGCATCCCGAAAACCAACTTCACGGAAACCCTGTACCTTTAGTCTCGAAACCGAAAGCCTAACCCCAATCCCCATGAATGCAGTGACCTACGTGACTTCCTCAACCCTGCTCCTTGACTCACGGACTAAGCCTCAGCCACCGTTCATGAAGGAGTGATTCGGAAGCCTCTTAACTGCCCTCGCTGCACAGGGTTGATACAAACTGAGCCGCATCTTTCACACACACACCCACACACAGAAGTATACAAATTTTGGTTTTTCCCAAAACGTGGATTGCTTTGAAGCCAAGTCCTGAAGCATCCAATCGAGGAGTCTCTACTTCCCAAATCCAAAGCACACACCCAAACTGAAACACGACACTGAGTGTCAACCTCCCAGTCCCAGGTTTTAGACTTTGCGATGCAGTATATCCACCATATTTCGTCTGAGAAGCCAAGAACTTACCAAAAGTGCTCGATAAATCTGGAAGCAGGACGGAGCCAAAGCTCTGCACCCGGAAGCCCGACTTCGGTGCTCTCGACAGGACAAGACATTCTGATTTTCCTCTTGGAAATGAACCTTCTGTGGGCGCATTCTGTATCTCAGCTCGAACCACGACAGGGCCCCACCTCGGTGCCCCCAGCATATCCGGAAAGTGCGGTGATCTCCGTGGGCTGGCGACCGAGATCTGAAGCCTCTCATATTCCGACACCGTGACATCGCAACAGACGCTTTTGAAAGCAGGATGCCTCTTGCTTTACCACCTCGTGCTGCACATGCCAGAAGCACCCCTGCCATACAGTGCTGACGCGTCGAAATGTGTCTCTTACCACCTCTGAAACGTCCACGAGATATCAAACAAATTTGGGCCTGCCCCACATACATCTTGACCTCCGACTCGGCGAAGGCAGCACGTGGGCTGAGCACCACTGCGGCCAAGACAGCAACTGCTGCGAGTCCTGCGCCTGCTGCCCAGCATTGAATCTGCTTGGGTTTGAGGCAACAAGACAATGCAACCGAAGCGCGTGCCCATGCGGGCAGTGTGGCGCCCGCGGCGTCCGTGATCTCTTCTTCAGGATGGAACAAGCGGCTGTCAGTGCCTGGCAGTGCCACACACAAGGCCCCAGCCAGTAGCACGAGCACAACACAGAACGCACGCACTTCCGAACTCTCGTCGTTTCTCAATGTGGCTGGTAAGGGATGGCAAGGGTGCTCGTGCCTTTTTGCTGCTCCAAGCTTTCTAGCACCACATGAAGCCAAAATATGCAGGTTTCGCGGCCCACCACCCTGTCGAGCCTCGTAGCTGTGCAAGCTGCACCTCCTGCACCTGTCCCGACGAGCGGGATGTGATCTCAGGAACAGTCTGGCGGCTTGCCGTCCAAGCCTTGGTAAGAATGACAAATTCGTAAAGAAGCCATCGCCTTAATATGCCCCGTATTAAGATGCCAACGAATCCACCTGGCAGTAGACATGCAGCGAAGAGCAGCTTGACCGACATCCTGCCGCATAACACGGCTGCAACAACAAGTTTGCCAACCTCAAGCTGTCCTGTCGGCCACTTACCAGCACCAACGGCAGCCGACGCCAACACAAAATCACTTGTCCGGACAGAGCCATAAAGAAT